TTGGGCGGAAACTCCTCACAGGACACCAGCACGTACAGTACATAATCATCCAAGTTGACAAGATCTGGTTCGGAGAAGATGAGATAGAAGTACTTCAAGGTCTCTGCTAACCAGAAACTCTCCATGTAATCTAACTGGGTTGCCTTCAAGCCCCGCACGTCGTCTATTGCGGCATGAGCATACTTCGTCCGAGTCATTTTCTCAATGCTCTGGAACATTCTCCATGCATCGTCCTGCAATTTCTTGTCCCCAGTGATGCGGTACATGATGAAAACAGACTCAATCGCCTCAGGTCTAGAGCGAATATCAGCACTACTGCACCCGATGCAAGATGAAAAACAATGGTCAGCAAATCACATACCGCAGCAGATATCTCGGGTCTGATATCTCAGTTAGCCCAGGTTGAAGCCCACTCTCCTTGACAATTGTCTTGGCTTCTTGGACAGTGTCTGTCGCCTTTGATCCCTTGGCCAGTCGCCGCCGGACATCTTGATACCACTTCTGCTCGTCCCATTCACAGTTATCCATGCTCCGACAAGGGCTGAGATGCATAATTTCCGGCATGATTCCGGTGGGCATGACGTCGTATGCCCAGATACAACCATCTGTTAGCTTTCTCGCAATCGAGAGCTCCTCCGGGCGGTTGAAAACCTTGGCCCCGATACCCACAGTGCCCCCAAAAAAGCATTTCAGATGTTCCCATTGAGGCTCGGGGGGCGCGTTGCTTCCGAGACTCGTGTGAATATTCCCAGCGAAGAGAAGATCCTCGCCATTTTTTGTCATGGGCCGGAACAATAAGCGCTGCTTGATCGCCTCCATGGCGGCGGCATACATCTTGCGGTATTGATTCGTCTGAGCTCCTAGTAGCATATGCTCTTTCGGCAAATACTCATACGTTGAGTCGGCCATTCCGCCCACAGTAAAGCGAGGATCTGTAAACTCTAAATCCTGAGCGTTGACCATCATAGGCCACAGTCCAGGGATTTTGGTCTTATTCTGAGCGTCGTCGAGAATGTCTGTAATTCGTTGGACAGCATCGAAGTACTTGGGATCATGAGTCAGCTGAGACAGCCTGGTGAATTCTAAATTCAAGGAACCCAGTTCTGCAAGGATAGTTTGTTTGCTTGGCTGGATGCTCAGGCCTTGCGCAGATCTATGGCTTAGTTAACAGCAGCTTTGGCGGTCCAGAAACAATGGCCGGCCTACCTGCTCCATTGCCAGCGTGACTGAGGCATCCTATTGCTAGTATCAAAGGCGTCGTAGATCATGTCGCCCAGTTCCACCGCCTTCTTCAGAAGGATCGGGTGTTTTCCGTCGGTCAGGTCGTAGGCGCCAAGTAACCCCCCTACGTATCGGATAGTAGTTTCGAATACATTGATCTGGGTGGCATCGGTGGTAGTAAAATCAATGCTCTCAATGGCATGCAACGCATCTTTAAACTCATCTTCCAGACCCATAATGACGAGAGTGTCAAGTGAGTCCACCAGAGTGGCAGCCCAGCCAGCGAACGTGGTTCTGTAGCGAGCACTGAGGGGCGAAAGTTCATCGCGCAGCCAGGCATGCTGCTTGTACCCTTTCCAAGCATGCGTGAAGGCCTCCTTGACGGCTTTCTGTCTGTTCACTCTTTTCCTTCGGCCAAACCATGATTCCTTCGCGAAATCGTACTGGACACGAGGGATTGCGGACGGCGCGGGCGTAGGGAGAGGAATAAAACTGGAGACAGGATGTCTTTCGGTATGTTTGGTCCAATGGATACGGTTATCGCTCTGCGGGGGTTGGGGATGGTATTCTGCGTAGTATGAGTGGTCGTCAAAGGGAGTCTCTGCGCCAGGCGGTAGACTCGAGAAAAGAAAGAAGGTAATGAGAATTAGAATAATGGTTGGTAAGGCATAGCGATAGCGCCTGCGACCGAGAATCATAGCGCTGAAGACGAGGTGCTCCCTGGACTGGGGACAGCTGCTGTGGAGACAATGAGAGGACCGAGCTTCTCTAAGCTGGAAATGAGGTGTCAATAACGAAACGAGGAGGCAGCATCAGGCGGTCTTGATGCAGCATGGCCAAGGCAAAGTTGCTTGACAGATGGTGAACGTCGGAAATCAACGAGAAAGGGCAACATTCAGAGGTTATTGAGAAGGAAGCTTGAGTACGGAGTAAGGGAGGGGAAGCTCCAGACGCCGTACTAATGTACACACGACAGCTTCCCCGTGAGAGTGGAGAATAGCCCGTCAGGGTCACTACTCAGGGATTATTCTGGGCCATGATCGCCCTCGTTCTAAAACTTTTTATAAACCCTTGGAATCCGTCTATTAAACAGATAGTGATGATTGGCGGACAAATCTGGCGATTGAATGTCACGAATTGTCTGAAGTCAGCACTGCAAGGAGCTTCTAGCAAAATTGATTTCTAGGCCTCCTTACGAGACGTTGGAAACGCGCATCCTCATTCTTTGAGCCCTTTCGGACTTCAAATTCCTGTACTCTCTACGGAGTATGGGCATGCTGAAGACCCTGAGTAGAGATCGGCATGCAGTGGAAAATAAGGGGCCCGCGAGATTGGCGTGGCAATGTTGTTCCTGCACCGTCCAAGCTGATCGAGAAAGACGTGTCAAATAAGAGGGCAATAGGCGTGCAAATCCAAGGGGACGGGTACCCTCATTGCGTAAGCCGGTGGTCCCCAAAACCCTTGATACTTCGAACAGACTACCAGTCATAGTTAGATAAGTATGGGAAAAGCAAACCAAGTCTGGCGCCTATCTAGCGGGTGGAGATGATTTCTATTCTTGTGTTTGACCCTTCAATCCAAGACAGCCAGATTCTTGTCTCTCTTGGTTCGCGTCTTGGCATTATCGCGGATGTGTCAGTTTCTTGCTTCAGCTCATACAAATACCTCCAGAACCTGGGGGATAATAGAGCAAATAGGGAAACATAATCTTGTGTAGTAAGATGAGATTCACTCATTCAAAATAATATCTTTCTTCCTTGGTTGGCGAAGAAATATGAAAAACATTGAGTGTCAAAGGACCTTTCAACCAGTTTGCATGGTTTGCATGTATTGGTGCCTTGTTGCCTCTACATGTTAGACGCCATCGATGGGATTCGACAGCATCAGAGTCTCCATACGAATCAATAAAGCCATTTCTTCAGACCTTACCATTGCATTACTTGGAGATATCTTTTCCTTTTTGCTCGTGAACATGCTTCTGCTGGAGATCATTAGAATTTAATATCATTTGCTATTTGTATGATAAAAGGTAGGCTTAAGGACCATTGAATCGCATTTCCAGTAGACCACTGCTTTGTCCAGACTAACAATAGTGTAGGTGAATCCTCAAGGGTGGATCTACTTTGATGTTCTGAAGGCGTGTCATTACTCTGGTCTTTTGGATGCTCTCTCCGGTGGCCTAACTTTGAACACTCTTCACGGCACTGTCAAATTTCTATTACTCAGAATCCATTTTCTTATAATCAGTTTGGGTGATATTGCGACACAACTGCCATTCAAAAATTGATACTTAATCCACTTTGCTTTGATTCATAATATTGCCTCGTGGCAATAGCCATACGATGCCTGTCACAGGGTAGATGTCTCTCGAGTTCTGATTCTAGCCATCTAATGCTAACTGCTCATGCAGCGTGTTCTTCATTCCCGCAAACCCAAATGCGTCCACAGCCCTCGCGGCCATCACAGAACGGCTGCATTCCGCCGTTGCAGAGGAGCCTGTCGCAATAGGCCGATGGGCCCTAGAGCATAAGTTGATGAGGGATACTCCCTCCTGCGTGCCTGGATCAGGGCCCCAGCGACAAGCTCAACACCGGTACATGCAATTTCTGTCATTATCCTACTATCCCAATCACGGATTCATCTACACATCCCACAGTCCCGAGAAGACAGGGCAACATCCCGTCCCGAATGCTGCTACTCCTCAACCTGGACTCACCCCAGCTTCGGGTTCAGCCGCTCCACTCAACTCCACCGCAGCTGGCGTTTCAGGCATGGTTATGACCACCGTACCTCTGCCTTCGTCCGGAGCTCTGTTTAAGCATTTCGTCTACGCCTGCCAACCCTTTTGGTGCCATCGACATACAGTAGCTGTACCGGGGGGGATGGTCTACGATGTCGGTGATTTCCGAGTACGTATCGGCGACGTGCGGCAGACGCAGCCCGCGGCCCGGGTCCGAGGCACAGTCGTGGAGATAGAATACAGGGGCCCGTCGCTGGTGACTTCAATCTCCGCCCAATACGTACAGTCTAAACGAGGGGTGAACCTAGGCGGGGCCACCGATGTTTCGGATAATGACCATGACTCGGGGATCGACCTCGCGCTCTTCGGCGGTATAGAGGACGCAGATATCGATGCAGAGTACTCTGCAACTGCAGCGCTGATCCGGGAGTTCTGGGCCAAGCTGGGGATCGAGGGAGCGCGAGAAGCGATCCTTGTACCAGACGTTGGCAGAGAGGTGAAAGAGCAGTTGAAGAAACTAAAATTACAAGAGAACAAGGGACAGACGGCGCCAAGGAATGAGGGTCATGCCCTACAGCAGGACGATGACCCGGACCCGGATGCGGGAACGGACCTAGCCAGACAGTTTATGGAGATTTTCAGGTTTAACAGATGAAATGTCTGTATGCCCGAAAGCACTCGAAGAATGAGTAGAATTCAGGTATGGTGCTGAGCAAAGGCGAGAAAAGAGCCATTAGAAGGAAAAGAAAAAAAAAAGAGGCGATCACATTGAATATGTGGAAGTAACCAGACATATAATGTCCTACCGAGACCCTTCGTCAATTACCCAAATTGCTTAAGTCAGAGACACAGCAATCATCTCGGAGTCTCCACAGGTGAACCAACAGACTCAAGCAGAAGGGTGGTAAAAGCCAACCTCGATCCATACTCCATACCTATCAGCTACAGCCGTAATAGCAACGAAGATCAGATGGGAATAGTGGATATATGTATTGACACCCGACTAGCTAAGAATGAACAGAACAGCCGAACGAAACGCTTATTTTTGCATCATGAGCTGAACGAACTCGTTGTCTACACACAATTAGCAAAACGTTCCATGTAAATCGGGGTCCAACAAAGGAAAGCTGTTTGATCAACATACAATCAATCCGGCCGTCACCGTCCTGATCCGCCTCGCGGATCATCTCGTCAACTTCGTCATCAGTGAGCTTTTCTCCGATAGAGGTCATAACGTGGCGCAGCTCCGCAGCGGAAATGAAACCGTTGTTGTCGCGGTCGAAGACCTTAAAAGCTTCCCGGATTTCCTCTTCGGAGTCGGTGTCCTTCATCTTCCGAGCCATCATTGTAAGGAATTCTGTATACGAGTTAATGATTGTTCTCCTCCCTCCCGGGTCACGCTAGATGCATCCGCGTACCAGGGAAATCGATGGTGCCATTGTTGTCAGCATCCACCTCGTTGATCATATCTTGCAGCTCTGACTCGGAAGGGTTCTGGCCCAGGGAGCGCATCACAGTGCCCAGTTCCTTGGTGGTGATCTGGCCTAATAGTCAAACATAGATTTTATCAGTATTGATGGGGCCATTCTCGGATATTGTAAGTTGGCATTTGAACATGATCGCACAGAATCCGACGTTCGAGGAGCGGAAAAAAAGGTCACTAACCATCACCATCCTTGTCCTATACGTCGAATCTCGTGTGAGCGCAAACTCTCAATATTGTGGAAATTCTTCTTATACAACGACTAGGGACTAAAACAGTTCACTTACGAAGAGAGAGAAAGCCTCCTTGTACTCGGAAACCTGTTCCTCAGTCAAAGAGTCGGCCTAAACATTTGGGTGTCAGCGACTTTTGTCCAGAATACCAGTCGATCTGCCCCGCAAAGTGGGGGACTTTCAGCAGGACTCGCCAAGGCGATTGAACAAGAATGCATACCATGGTGAAAAAATGGAATACTGAGAGTGACAAGAAAAATGTAAAGTGTTGGGCTGGTTGAACAGTGGCCTGGAAAGGGTATATAAAGGCTGAGCAGCCGGTGGTTTAGCGAGGTAGTGATGGTAGCGGGGGAAGAAGTGTTTAAGGGGAAGCTGAGCCAAGTCGACAATAATAAACTGGACCCGCCAGAGAACGAGCTGGATGCCTGGCAAACCAGGCCGTCGCTTAATCATAGGACTGCTGGCCTGAAAACGTGACCCGCCCGGAGCACCGCCTGGCCGTAGCGCCCAAAGAGGGCTGAAGGGCTGAAACTGCTGAAGGTTGGCAGGACATGCTCCCTGACTGTATGCCGTTTCCATTATCTACTGCAGAGGGCAGAGGCTCTCGGGTCTTATGACTCTGCTGCGGAGAATTTCGTCCAGCATGTGCAACTGCGCTTAGCAATATCCATAGTGCCATCGGAGTCCCGCCCTTTGGTATATCCGGGCTGTTAGTAACTACCTATGTTGCTGACGACGCCCGTGGATCTAAGGCGAGTAGTGAAGCTTGAAGGCAACAAGTTCTGGCTATCATTCCTTAGCGGTGGCAGTGCTCTTTAAAAATTGACTATTCAGCTTTTTATAGCACTGAATATCTCATCTATATACCGTGTCTTGTGCACATAGCCTGGCTGCTTTGTCTGTCAATGTCCCTGTCTAGTGATGTCTGTCCTTGAGCCTACGTTGACCGATTCAAATTGGTCTAATACATTTGGCACGCGGCGTACGTACACGCGTCTCCAGAAATTCAATCATCTGTCTGGATTCCGAAACCGAGCCACGAATTCAAGGTGTGTAGCCCTGGATGTGACGACTTTTAGTACATTGATCAACGGACGAGACAAAACGATGAGGTAGAGATTGTCACTCCCAATCCATGACTCCATGTATCATGATTTATCCATCTACCTAGATTGCCATGGTGCTCCTTTTATCAGATACAGCAGTCCTCTGATACTAATTACTTCCACCCATATTGCTGTACTGACCAGGTCGTAAATATTCAAGGTAAAATATCGCCAGCGTGGCTAAATTTCCCTTTCTGTGCAACAAAGATGCCAGATATGTATAATAATTCCTTATTTACCAGGCACCTACCTGATGAATCTGGGGAGAGCCCAGCTTACAGGTCCGTAACGGGAAGTACCAGAACGGCTTTCCCTGAAGCGGCATGGCGTCATACGGACTGGTGTCCCTTCACGTGGGCCATTGTTGGTGATGGAGCTGCGGATGTCGGCGATATCTTTGTGATTGCGACGAGTTATAAGCTTCAAATTCCTTCCCTTTTCACACTATACCCTATTCCGACCGCATTATTGCTCCTAGCAAACCTCTGCTTTCCGGTCATATAATACACCATCACAGAACTTCATATTTTACCGACGATGATCCGGGCAAGCTAGGACGCCCCTCCACCGAAGACTACAACAGGAATCGCTCATACCCCAGATTACCTGTCGCGATGTGGCGGGATCGTACGAACCTGTACTCCTCTACAGCCCTTAAGACTTACTTAGCTGGCAGGAAAAGCTGACAATACTCCTGCCCTTCCCAGATACATCTCCTACCGTCAATCATTTACGCACCACCCAGCCAAGAAGCCACGTTATATCGGGCCGTCCAATGGCTTCACCGACACACCCTCACAATTCGAAGAGAGTCGCAGACTCATACCTGACTCCGGCGGCTTAGAAGATGATGGTGATGCGATCATTGAGATGGATCTCCTGCCGCCGCGGTGGGTCGACGTTCAAGACGAGGTGACGGAGTTGCTCGCGGACATTGCGCAAAAGTCGGCACAGTTGGACAAGCTACACCAGAAGCATCTGCTACCGGGCTTCGGCGACGAGGATGTTAGGAAGCAGGATGAACGTATGATCGAACGACTCACGCGGGATATAACTCATGGGTTCCATGAGTGTCAGAAGGCGGTTCAGAGGATTGAAGTGATGGTGCGCGAGGCCAAGCAACAAGGCGGCGTGAGTGCAGGGGACGAGACCATGGCGAAGAACATCCAAATATCCTTGGCTTCCAGGGTACAAGAGGCTAGTGCGCGGTTTAGGAAGAAGCAAAGCACCTATCTGAAGAGTATGCACTGTTACCCTTCATGGCCATTGGGAAAATGTTGTAACCCGCGACTTGACAGAATTACGAGGGCTGGAGGGTGCTGCGGCGCCTTTTGACCGCGCCCCGACGCCACAGAATCCCTACATGGATCCTTCATTAATGGAGTCCGACGCAGACAAGTCTTTTTCTCAATCAACTCTCATGCAAACGTCACAGCGACTCACCGGTCAACATGACGAAGCCATTGAGCAACGAGAGCGAGAGATCAACGACATCGCAAAGAGCATCATTGAGTTGTCTGACATCTTTCGTGAACTACAAGCGATGGTCATCGATCAGGGAACCATGCTGGACCGGATAGACTATAATATCGAACGGATGGGTACTGAGGTCAAGGCAGCCGAGAAGGAACTGAAAGTGGTATGTTCATCGCTTATGAGAGATCGAGGGCCTGCCAATGGACTGACAAATGCTGCTTAAAGGCCACCAATTATCAACGGCGGACGACAAAACGCAAAATCCTCCTTCTCCTTATCATCCTGATCGCAGGGATGATCATCCTACTAATAGTCAAGCCAAAGAGGCATAGCTCACCAGCTCCTACACCGTCCCCTCCCCCACCCGTCGAACAGCCGCCAGCTGAGCAGCCACCGAGTCATTTTCCTCGAACATCCACATCTGTCTATCGTCGGAAGAGGCGTCCGTTTCCGATTCAGTCTTCAGAGGACAAGTTATTCGAACCGGGTATAAATGGGTAGTCAATGACAGATACGGTTATGACAAGAATAATGCATAATATTACCATCTATAGCGCCTTCAGGAAGCAATGATCGGATTAGGTCTAGTTGGGTAATTGATCTAGGCCCATCGCTCTCTATGTCTCGCATTTACAGTGGCATCTTCAATAAAACGGGAACGGGATACTTCGTAGTGCGTGTCATTGAACTAGCTATCGGGACGGAACCTACATACGATGCCCATGTCCTGGGACAGCGACGCCCCCCAAGTCAAATTTGGAAGTCACAAGAGAAAGGCTCCATTGTATTGAACTGGCAAATAACTCCAGCTCAATATCGATCACATGCAGATGGAGATTGAATAGACCAAGCCTACCAGAAGTAACCTCACACCGTAACGAAGCTATGTTGGGGAATACGGATCAAAGCCAGAAGTACAAAGCAGAATGCCCGGATGAGAAAGGTAGGACCGGACCGGCAGCTTAGATGCTTTAAGGATGCTATCTCTCCTGCGGATAGCCCTCCTGATTCAGTAACTCAGCGACATCAGCGTCCAGATCGCCGCTAGCGAATTGCGCATAGTCCTCCTCTTCGTGGGCAGCCTTACGCTTCTTCAAGTTGACCCCGTTGGGACTGCCCTGCTGGAGCAGGCTAGAAAGATTCGACAGACCTGGTAGTTCCGTATCAGATGGCACAATATTGGTAGGCTGTCCGATGCCTGGAAGCGAAAAACCATCCACCTGAGCCTCCTCCACGGACCGTGGGATTTTCTCCTGGGGGCCTTGCTTCGGGGACCCAACAGGGGTGATTGATTCCACTGGCGGGGGTGTTAAAGCCTCGACCTCCGGACGAGTCACGGCTGGTGCCTCAGCGCCCGCGTCGCTAGGCTGAGCCACGGGTGGATTGTCGACAGAAAGCCCTCTCATGATGCTATCCTCTACGTCCCGCTTCTTCGCTTCAGTCTCCGCCTTCCTTTCAGACAGCTGCGAGAGAACGGACTGCTCTTTTGATAAGGCTGCACGATTGGTTTCAAGAAGCTTCTCAAGACCATCGATAAGTGCCAAGCGCGATTTGATGACCTCGGACACAGAACTTTCAGCATTTGCAAGCGCTTTCAATAGTTGGCTTAGACGTGCAGCATGCACTGGAGGAGTTGGTAGGGGTACAGCGGGATCGTGCATTTTGTCGTACTCTCCATTTGCTGCAGTAGCAGATGCACCGGAGGCCACTGTCGCTTTGGACAAAGCTGCTTGCAGAGGCACCAGCGGCTGAATTTCAGATGGAACTGAACCAGAAGGGCTCGAGAAAAGGGATCCGCCCAACAATGGCTTTTTACCGGTCGACCGTGACTTATCAATCTCTATAGTTCGATAAGCCAATTGAATATTAGGCCGGATATAACGAGAAAAGCTTACCATCCACTCGAGCCTCTACAGCTTCCTGAATAGGTATCTCAAAAATTGACCGTTGCCTCCACACCTCAACAACTCGTCGGAGCTTCTGCTGGATGTCGTTTGAAGCTCCTTTGTATGCAGTTGCCACGGCCTCCGCAATGATCTACATGGAATTAACCTCCATTCTTACGCCACGCAAAGGAGTACCAACCGGAGAGAATGCAATGAGGAAATCATCCTTCCGTCTGGCTTTTGATTGTTGTGCGACCTCTAATCACTCATTAGTTCAAGAGCACTAGTCCGATTTGCAAGACTTGTACCGTTAGCAAGGTAGATAAGGTTCAGCCGTTTAGGCGCAGGCGAATCGCGAAGTTTCTGTAGCCAAAGTTGCGCTGTTCGTTCTGCATGTCGTCTGAATGTGGAGATGTAATTAGCATCTCGTCTAAGGGACTCATTACTGGGGCTCAATTACCTGTGAAACATAACCCATTGGGCAACTGTGACGATACCCTCCTGCGTCTCGTTTAGCGCCGAGAGTTTTGCTTTGACAGCATCATCAGTGTATGCCATGTTGAAAGAAAGTCCCGACTGAACGCGTTTAGAAAGCGATGCGCTGATGAGTTAACAGCTGAATTGAATGCTTTAGTGGTATTGCTCCAGATTTGAGGAGCCTAGCAGCAAGTTGAACTGACAAATGAAAGGATGCTGGCGTTGGATCAATGGAGAAACACAAAGAGTATAAGCAGCTTCGAGTGAGAGCAGATCATCGAAGATATGATTTGTAAGTATGTTAAGGTGACTGTGTTCATGAAGCTCATCAAAGCTCCAGACCAACTACGGAAGCTTCCTGACCGCCCTCCGCGGCAGAATCCCCGGGCTCCATCAACACTCATTCATACCTCCTCAAAGCGCCAGCTGGAGCATTACATTCAACCTCAATCTCATTTCCTCCATCCACCTTGATCTACAGCACTTGCAGGCCAGCCCTGGGACTTTTAACACCTCAATTACTACTCAAAAATGGCGGACCGTTTCCCCTCATTGGAGGACTTTTCTGCGGGTTGGTTGCCCGCAACAATCCCGCTAGTACCTGATTGACGATGCTAATCTGGATACACCCAGGCCAGACTGACGTTGTCGAAACCAACGGCGCATCGGATGAAAACGACTTCCTTGCTCGGGAGCGCGCTATTCTTGGAGATGATGCGGAACAATTTGCTACTGCTCAAGACCACGTTGCTACAGATATCGGTGATGACTTACTGGGCGGTGCGGAAGGAACCGCAGCTGGCGAAGCAGCCCCTGAGGAAATCTCGGGATTTGAGTCGTCGTTTCCTGCTATAGAGACACAGAATGAGGTATTGTTTTGCTCGTCTCAGGGGCCAAGGTTGTTTGCGGAGCACTGATATCTTCTCCTTAACAGCAAGTTGCTCCTGGCGGTACAATCACCGGAACAGGCGCACCCTTCCCGCCGACCGGCTATCCTTCTTACAAAGAGCCAGAGGAAGAACCGGAACCTGTCAGGTACGTCACATAGTTTTGCTGTTTTGACAACGCTCCACTCCTTATGCTCTCGCCCACCTGCGAGGATCCGCACGCTGACGATATGGATTGTAAAGGGAATGGCGTGAGAGACGAGACGCAGAAATCGCCCGCCGTGCCGAAATCTCGAACGAGAAGAAGGAGGCGACTATCAAGAAAGCTCGAGAGGACATCGACGATTTCTATGTATCTTACAATAACAAGACGGACAAGCTCCGAGCTCAAACCCGCGCTGATGCTGAACAATTCCTTGCCAACAGGGAAGACACCTCTGCCGGTGGCACCAGCTGGGAGCGCATCGCGAAGCTCGTCGACATCTCAGGAAAGGGCGCAAAAGGTGGTGCCAGTGGATCAGGCAAGGAGCGTTTCCGTGAGATGCTACTGGATCTGAAGAAGGATCAGAATGCCCCAGGTGTCAGTGGGATCTAGAGATCGAGCGCCGGTCCTTGACATGACAAGCATGACGGAGGACGACGGATCATCGAGAGATTGAAAGAAATAAATTATCTAATGACAATACACCCTGTTTCATATCGTTCTCGCATCTTGCTCACGAACACCACTACTCGCGTTTGATCAACGATGCCTTCCATTTTATCATTTTGATCACAATGATTGGAGCGTGAGGTTTCCTGCATTGATGGTCATGGTTGTGTATTCGCTTCAGCTACAGCTTTTGATTTCTTTACTACTGGCATATCCTTCTGGCATTGTGTTTTTAAAACTCGGTCTTTTCCCTTCTATTTATCAGCTTCGTAGATGTATGTACGAATTAACTGCTCCTATAGTTCGCCTTCCATGCGGCTCCACCCTAGAGAAATTGCTTAGTTCGCCAGGGGTAAACCTAGGGTAGCATGCAGTAGATTGCCGACGAGTGGCAATTGTTACATGGTCTTGATTAGAATCCTTCAAAGCCGGAGAGAACAACCCTGGATACTGTCTGCAATACACTAATACACTGAGCAGAATGGATGACTGAGGTCAATCGGCTCAAAGAGTTAACTATAACATTCACCATTGCGTTAATCCAACTCGGTAACATCTCCGCCAGGTTCACCAATATCTTCATGCTTTTCCTTTCTGCCCTCAGCTTCAATTTCCTCAAGCTTCTTCCTGCCTTCTTCTGTGGTCGCGTCAACGATGCCTTCCTCAAGGCTTAGCAAGCCACCGGCCCCTAGCTTCTCCACAACTTCTTCGGCCTCGTTGACGGGCATTTCACCAAGTACTTTGTTGACTTCATCAAGTGATTCCGAGGCCAATGCCTTCTGCAGATCTTCCGAGAACGACTCGAAGATCTTGCGAGCTTCAATCTCCGCCGGGTCATTGCTGTCTGCGGGCGGGATATTGATAGTGATCTTCGTGTTGGGATCGACGGCATGCAATTGAATCTGCTCTACTCCAGCAGGGTCATTGGCAGCTGAGCTATCTTTGGCAAGTTCCGCTGCACGGGTTTTGATTTTGTTGTAGGTTTCGTTCACGTCGTTGCGGAAAAGTGTTGACGCTTGATGGTCTTTCGTCGTGATTCTGTTGATCAGACTATCTTAGCAATAGTTCCACTCATCTAATGATCAATTTGAACTTACCGCTTGAAGAAAAGTGAGATCCCGTCTCGACCTAGAGAGCGGCAATATTGCAACAACAGCCCCTGGTGTACGCACTGACGAGCATACTCCTCCTTTCCTTCCATCTGGCTGTTGAAAGCTTCAACTAGAAGGCCATCTGTCTCCTTCTCTGCGACAATCTCTGGATGTTCCGAGATAAATTGAAGCAATGTCCTATAGTCATTACGATTGATGCGAGCAAACTTCTTTGCCAGATCGCTCGCTTTGACGTCTTCCGGGTCGACTTGCTCGTTATCATCAGCTTTCGGTTCATCATTCTGTACTGCACGTGGGTTTAGAAGTTCCACAGATTCTGCTTTCGCCGTAGCCGGTGCCTTGCCCTTATCCATTGATTTTGATACGTAGGATGTGTCGAATCCAGTATGCAGCATATCGCTCGTGATTTTGCTGGACTCTTCCTTCTCCAGCTGCGCAAGACGAGCCAGCAGTTCTTTCTGTAACCCCTGAACTTTATCCTGGTGACCTTCTACCCCCTTGATGTATGCCCGGTATCGGTTATCGGGGTTCAACTCGCCGATCTCCTTCTTAACTTGATCAACTAAAGCACTCAGCATTTGAGAGTACTTCGGCTGCTCCTTTTCGTGTGTATGAACGCCCTCTGGTGGGGCAGGTGCCTGGTCTTCAGCGGGGTTGCTTGCCGACTCCATCACAGCTTGGAAGACCAGCTCCTCAGGATCCCGTGGAGATCCTTCATGCTCGCGAAGCAATGCAAGGAGCTTATCTATACGTGAGAGGAGACCATCATTGATAATTCGCTCGTACTTAAGTGTCCCAATCTCCATACGGCGCTGTTGCCGTTGCTGATGGATCTGAGCCTGCTTTGCTCTAATGAAGGAGCGCTTGTCGACATTAGGGTGGACCTCAATATCCGAATCATCGGACAGTTCAAGAGCATCCCATTTGCTGTAGTCCAAAACCATCGCGGCGATTCGTGGTAATACGCTGAACGAAAAGCTGTTGCTGGTATGTTATGAGGGGTGCGATAGGCGGGGTAGAAACAAAGTATTACAACAGTACCTATGGACGATGATTGATAATAAGAGACAATTATGTTCACAAAGATCTGCGATTCAAGAGAGAATCTGCTAGGTCATCAAGTTTGAATGGCTCAAGCTACTCGACCAAGGCCAGCAAGATAAATAGTGGCTCAAAACAAATGTGAACTCTCAATGTATATTTAAGTCACATGCATCGAAAGCTCTCGATCAGCTTCGATTGCGGCCGAACCTCCGTGGAAGGCGGTCGAGATGGCAGAATCTTGCCTTTGGGACAGCCGCGCTGCCGAGTCCGATGCCTGTCCGACCGACCGAACAAGCATAGTTTCAACTTCAGCTGACGCTCGCCATTTTACGTCGCATCAGCGTTGCAAGCACCTGTCCATTCCTCGAGCAGCAATTGAGCTCGACAGTGTCAAGATCAGCACAACATTAATGTTCCCGTGACGAGATATGGCACCCAATTTCTCTTCCGTGACATCATTCTGAATTCCCGTCCAATTCCGCATCTTCTCTCCAAACTTCCAGATGCGCGGGATTAGATCGCTTCCCTGCTGGGCTCCTGGGTTGAGCACGAAGCGACTTCCTCGAATAGCACTATTTACTGAGCTATATCCCAATGCCTGCGCAACTCCCTCAACGCACAGCGCTCGCAATGGTCTCGTCCGACAGTTTTCGGGTTACACCGGGTCGACGAGCAACAGTTGCAATCCGCGCCCGCGTCAATCCGCATTCGCCTCCTCGTTATACGCCAATGTATATAGTAAAGGTTTTTCAACCGTTCAACCGCGATTTGTGAGTACAGTCAGGCTGTTTTCCACCTCCCAGCGACCATTGGAGGCAAAGCCAAATGTCGAGTCGATAGGCGGTCGGGGAGTGAGGTCAGAGATACACCAGGATCAGGAGCATGAGGACATCGAAAAAGGTTTTGAGCTATCAGAGAAAGCCGCTCAGGCAGCACAGGTCAACCTCAGCGCGAAGCTAGCCAAAGATGGTGCTGCTGGAAAGAAGGCCGGGTTCAGGGAAATATGGAGGCTCTTACTGATCGCTCGACCGGAGGCGAAGAAGCTCGCCTTCGCCTTTCTTTTTTTGCTGGTATCGTCTGGTATTACAATGTCCATTCCGTTTTCAATTGGGAGGATTATGGATACGGCTACAAAAGCGACTACAGAAGGTGGTAATGAGCTCTTCGGTCTGAGCCTTCCCATGTTCTATGGTGCGTTGGCCGGAATTCTGACTCTGGGTGCTGCGGCGAACTATGGTCGAATTATCATCCTGCGTATTGTTGGTGAGCGCGTCGTTGCCAGGCTTCGCTCGAAACTCTTCCGCCAGACGTTTGTGCAAGATGCAGAGTTCTTCGATGCGAACCGGGTCGGTGACTTGATTTCTCGTCTTAGCTCTGATACCATTATTGTCGGCAAGAGTATTACACAGAACCTGTCTGATGGACTGCGCGCGGCAGTTAGTGGTGCAGCAGGGTTCGGTTTAATGGCCTACGTCAGTCTCAAGCTCTCCAGTATATTGGCTCTCCTCCTCCCTCCTATCGGCCTTGGGGCGTTTTTCTATGGACGAGCGATTCGAAACCTGAGTCGTCAAATCCAGAGAAATCTTGGAACATTGACTAAGATTGCGGAGGAGCGTCTGGGCAATGTCAAGACTAGCCAGTCCTTTGCTGGCGAGGTTCTCGAGGTTCGCCGGTATAACAATCAAGTGCGAAAGATTTTTGATCTTGGCAAAAGGGAATCCTTGATCAGTGCCACATTCTTTAGCTCCGTACGCATCTGTCACCCAACCCTACCGCTTATCATAGATCTAACCTTATCTAGACGGGGTTCGCTGGCAACATGACCATCCTGGCATTGCTCTACGTAGGAGGAGGCATGGTCCAATCTGGTTCCATAACCATTGGAGAATTAACATCATTCCTGATGTACACGGCGTACGCAGGGTCAAGCATGTTCGGTCTTTCGAGCTTTTACTCTGAACTTATGAAAGGTGTCGGGGCAGCTAGTCGACTGTTCGAATTGCAGGATCGTCAGCCAACCATATCTCCAACCAAGGGCGAGAAGGTCATTTCGGCGCGAGGACCCATCCGCTTTGAAAACGTGACTTTTAGTTACCCAACTCGGCCTGCTGTTCCCATTTTCAAGGATCTCAATTTCGAAATTCCCCAAGGGACCAATGTTGCTATCGTTGGGCCCTCAGGCGGTGGGAAATCGACAATCGCTTCCATCTTGCTCCGTTTCTACTCTCCTACCGAAGGAAGAGTTCTAATCGGTGGCAATGACATCACTCATATGAACGCCAAATCCCTTCGACGAAAGATTGGCATCGTCTCCCAAGAGCCTGTCCTCTTTTCGGGGACCATAGCGGAGAACATTGCGTATGGTAAGCCTCAGGCCAAACGGTCAGAGATCGTTGCAGCTGCGCGCAAGGCGAACTGCCAGTTTATAAGTGACTTTGTAAGTTACTCGACCTCCATTTTTGTTTACCCATGCAGCTGACTGTGTTGTCCAGCCGGATGGCCTCGACACCCAGGTGGGACCCCGAGGCGCCCAGCTTTCTGGTGGCCAGAAGCAGCGCATTGCGATTGCCCGGGCTCTGATTAAGGATCCTGATATTCTCATACTTGATGAAGCAACTTCTGCTCTCGATGCAGAGTCGGAAACTCTTGTGAACAGCGCTCTTACCGCGCTCCTTCGTGGTAACAATACTACCATCAGCATCGCTCATCGACTCTCTACAATTAAGAGATCCGATACGATTATTGTCCTTGGTCCCGACGGAAGGGTAGCCGAACAGGGCAGTTATG